AATGGTGAGCTTGAAGGGAAGGCAACTGGCTTATCCTGCGCTGCTCATGCCCCATAACAAGCTCCTCCTCCTGCACTACAGCCAGTTGTCCCACCTCCCTCCTCACAGAATAAGGACAGAGAAAGAGCTCACCGCCCGGGACCACCGTATGTGAACTTCCCGTGTGGGCGTAGTCCCCAGTGTGGACGTGGTCCCCAGTGTGGATGTGGTCCCGTGTGGACGTGGTCCCCAGGATAGATGTGGTCCCCAGTGTGGACGTGGTCCCGTGTGGACGTGGTCCCCAGGGTGGATGTGGTCCCATGCGGGCGTGGTCCCCAGTGTGGACGTGGTCCCCAGGGTTTATGAGTTTATTTATGTGAAGGCCTCAGAGACAAGACCTGCTCATCTTTGTGGTCCCAAATGCTGGCAAGGACAGAGAGGTCATTTTTAAACTAGGAATTATAAGAGGGGCAAACATCTCCTACACCCAACAATGACCCTCAACACTGCTTGTACCCACCCTAATGTGAACTGTTAGATGCAGGTAACAGGACCTTGCTTGCTGCAAGGGAGGAGGACTTGAACTTGCTGATGAAGGTCAAGGATTGCAGCCCTCAGGGTGGATTGCAACTCAATGTAAAGAAAACAAAACTCCTCACAACTGGACCAGTAGGTGACATCAAGATGAGCAGAGAAAAGACGGAGGTCGTCAAGGGTTTCATCTTGCTTGACCCCACAATCAATGCTCATGGAAGGGCGGTGAAGAAATCAAAGGATGAGCTGCACTAGGCAAATGTGCTGCACTCCACCTCTGTAAAGTGTTGACGAGCAAGGGTGTCACTCGGAGGATTGACATCCTCCTGACCCAAATAATAGTCTTTTCAGTCAATCACAAGCAAGTGAATGTTGGACATTGAAAAAAGATCAAAACAGAATCGATGCGTTTGAATTCAGGTGCTGGGCAAAGAATATCTAAGTGCCATGCACTGCCAAAAGAATTAACCCATCTGTCCTGGACAAAATACAGCCAGAGGGCTCCTGAGATGCAGGTTGGGCGCGAGGTCACCTCACATGCTTTGGGCTTGTTATCAGGAGAGACCAGTCCCTGGAGAAGGTCATCGTGCTTGGTCAAGTGGAGGGTTATCAGAGGAGGAAGACCCTGAATGCGATGGATTGACACAGTGGTTGCAACGATGGGCTCAGCCATCGCACAAGTTGTGAGGATGGCCCAGGTCAGGCAGGGTTTCCTTCTGCCGCACATAGGGCCACTACGCGTCAAAAGCCACAACAGTGTGGACGACACTCAGCCATCGGTGTCTTCTTTTCCTTCCCGTTATATCATACTTTGTCCCTGTCTCCCTGCGTCTCACCAAAGAACAGTTAAGAACAAAAACAAAGGGTTCCTAGGCGGTGGGGGGAGGGGGAGGATAAAGGGGAGCTGATATCAAAGAATTCAAAAGAAAGAAAATGTTTTGAAAATGATGGTGGCAGCAGTTGTACAATTATGCTTGATCTAATTGAACTATGGATTGTTATACTATCTGTAAGAGCTCCCAATAAAATGTAAAAAAAAAAAGAGAGAAAAGAATATACACTTTAAAGAAACAAAACAAAACCCGGAATAGACCCAACCCATTCACCAGCGGGGAAACAGGCCACCATCCCAACTCCGCCTCGCTTTCAAAAATCTCTATGCTCGGGCCTCCCTCGACCTTTCCGGTCCCGAGTCCTCCAAAGGAGCAGTCTTTCCACAGCTTGCCATGTCCTCCTAAGACAGGAGTTAGACTCGTGGGTTCCAGTGCACCCACGGACAGGTCCATTCCAAATGTGTGTGAACACTCCCTGCAATCAATGGATGACTGCAGACTGTGGTTGGAGGGGGTGCC